GTTGTTGCTGCCGCTTGTTGTTGATCTGAATGGGGAATGAGTCATTTTCTTGGAAAGCCCAGCAGCGCTGCACTGGGAGGTTTCTGGGTAGAATAGGAACAGCTTTGAGCCAAGCTCTACTTGGGGGGAGAACGGGACTTACACGGGGCTTTTTTAATGCAGTCATTAAAAGGGAGGTGTGCAGAGGGAGGTCTGATTAGGAAAGCGTGGCAGGAAAAGGCTTAATTTTATCAGGGAAGAGGGGGGAGCTGAATTGCCACGGCTTCATGTGATGTGGCTGCAGCGGGAGGGAGCGTGGAGGGAGGGAGGGAAGGAAGGCGCAGTGAGGTGACTGGTGCGTGGGTCACAGGGCTTGGTGGGAATGTTTGCTTGGAGAGAGTGTGAGCGTGAGTCACTGCTGGTGCACGAGCTTCCTGGCTGGCCTGCCTCCCTCAGCCCTGCTCCTGGGTCTCTTTCAGATGAAGACGGGCCCCTTTGCCGAGCACTCCAACCAGCTCTGGAACATCAGTGCCGTGCCATCCTGGTCCAAGGTCAACCAGGGCCTCATCCGCATGTACAAGGCAGAGGTGAGCGCCGTGGGCAGGGGGAGGCTGCTTGGCCACGTGCCTCCTCCCTTCCGTTCCTCTGTGGGTCAGCTCTTCTGCTTCTCCTTGGGTGGGGGCCTCGTGCTGAATGTGGCTTGGCAGCCCTTGACAATTCAGGTGCTGCTGGCTAGAAGGAGGCTCCTGCCCACCTAGTGTTTGCCCCAAAGCCAATCCCAAAATGACTGTTCCTTCCAGACATGACTCTCACCATTTCTTGTCTCCCCACAGTGCAAGTTGCAGGTCTCCAAATTAGGGCTGATGTCTTGACCTGCTGTCCTTCTGGTCCCTGCACTGCTATTTTACCAGCTGGAAGAGACTTAGCTTTAAATTATTGTCCCATGTTTCAAGAGCCCCAGAGCAGGCCAAACGCTTCCTACTGATCTCCCCTCGCTACAGATCCTGTCTGTGCGGTGTGCCGGACCGGGGAGGCCACAGCTGCATCCCCGTTTTTTCTGCCGGGGCTCTGCTGGCGCTGCCCCAGCAGGCTTTCCTGGCCAGCCCTGACCTGGGGAACCGGACAGCTTTGGCTCTCCCTTATCTCTCCTTCCTGCTCGAGCCAACCCTGAGTTTGAGGAAGCAGGACAGGAACCACCACATCTGGGCCTCTGGAGGGAATGGCCGACAGGCGACATCTCCTACTGGGAAGGATGGGACTGTGCTGGCTCTCCAGGGAGGCAGTGGTTAAAGATGCTGGAGGAGCAGGGATGGCACAGCTCCCTGGTGCACCCAGGGAGACCGGTGGTGCTTGAAGGAGTTAATCCTACACCCCATGGTCTCTACTCAAGGCAGCCATGATCGTGTTGCTGGGACTGGGACGTATGGCCGAGGCTCAACCGGCAGCCCTGCTCAGGCCCAGTGCACAAAGGGGTTAACTGTGCCGAACTGTGTTCCCTCCCCCAGCCCTTCCTCTGCTCTGCACATCCTGTGTTTAGGTTCCAGGCCACATACCTCTCTAATCTGCGAGGTGTCACTCCCAGGCCCGCTGGCTCCTTCCGCCCCCAGCTCAGCTTTCCTCCCAGCCTCCAAAGAGGAGAAGCGGGGCTGCGGGTCGACCCCCTCCACTGGCTGCTCCTCGGAGGGGTGCCCCCGGGCTGCCCCTCCCGGACTGCCCCCGCTCACAGCTCCGTCACAGGGGCTGGAGGCACTGCCGGCTGGGAAACCCTGAGCTGGAGGCTCTGGTGTGAGAGCTGCGGGGGCTGGGGGGGCTGAAGACCCCAGGCCAGGGAGTGCTGTTAAAGTGAAACATGAGTCCCCTAAAACCTAGACCCAAGTCTGCTGCTGCCTGGACAGCCCTGCCTTGGTCCATCCTTCCCTTTGGACCAGTTCCTTCTCACGCCCTTTGGGTGCTCCCCTGGCATCCTTTGTGCCCATGCTGTTCGGGTGCTCCTGCCTGTTGCCGCACATGCCCTGTGCCACATGGTTGCTCCCACCTCGTGCACCATGTACATGGCTGGAGGAGCTTGGCAGTGACGTGCCGGCGGTGCGGTGTGCGTGTCCACTGATGTCACGGGGCCATAGTGCAGCCCAGGGATCCTCTGGCGACTGGGAGATTCTCTGCCTCTTTTAGGTGCACCCAAGACATGGTCTTTTCTGGAGGCCTCAATCTATTTTCAATAGCAGATGACATTCTGTGTAGAAATGCCAGATCCAGTACTGGTGGGTTTCTAGAAATATCTAGAGCTGTAGCTGTGTCGGGGGAGAATGCAAAAGCTGCTGGGAAGAGTAACGACACAAATTTAGGCTAAGGTGTGGAAAATATTGAGTCAACCAAAGCGCTTTAAATTCAACTTTTTTTCCTGAGAGAACATTTGTGGATCTTAAAGCACTATTCCTAAGCACATTGCTGCATGAGGACCGTGTCCTCTCCTGGCACTGCACAGTGCCTGTGTTCACCTGGATGGGCAGAGGAGAGGGAGGACTCCTGCTGAGGAGTCCTCACTGGTTCTTTATATCTGCCCTGGGGAGTCTCCCACCACACTGCTGACTCGATTGGTTCCTGCCCGCTTGGGAGATGAGAGGAGCATGGACATGGCAGCATTGCTGGACAGAGCTTTCAGTTATGGTGTGCTTGGCCATGCAGCTTTTACCAGTGCTTGCAACTAGAGGATCTCTGATTTTCTGGGAAGGACACAATGTTCAGGAATTGCTGAGGCTTCATCCTTTTGAAAACTGAATCCTTCTGGGTGTTTCAGGCCAGGCACCCACAGTCACTTTTGCAGATCTTGTCCGTTTGCTGCTGGCTCCTGGAGCAAGTTTCTGCTTGATGTTCCCAGGTGTGTTGCCTTCACCCTTGCGGTCTTTCTCCAATTAGCCACTGCCAACGTTAGCAGAAGATAAGTGAGCCGACAGCCCCCAACTGCTGATACGGGTCTTTGTCCAGCTCAAGGCAGGCAGCTTCTGTGGCAGAGTCAGGGCATGTGATAGTAAAGAGAGGGAAGGTTTGGGATTGTGGTGTTGCTTTTTGCCTGACTGGCTAAGGTGAGAACAAGATTTCTTTTTTTTTTTCCCCCTCCCTTCTCCCTGCCCCTCCGATCACCCGTTTCAATTAGATCAGGTGAAATCAGACACTCGGATGGAGGTTCCAGCTCCTTAACACGTCTGGGGTGGCTGAGGAGTGCTCAGTGCCAGCCGGCGCCGACCGTGACCGGGTTTTGAGTGGAGGCAGCAGCAGGGTGAAGGGGTCACTTGCTAGAAGCAGACCAGGAGAAATCAAATGCTCGCTCGCAACCTGCTCTCACTTGGCAGGAGCAGGATGGTTCATTTAAAAAGCACTCTGGGTGCTTTGTCTCTGCACTGTCCCCTCTATGGGATGACTTTAAACAGCTGACAGAAAGCTCAGGTGTGTCCATGTGGCTGGGAGCTCTAGTCTGGATCCAGGCACTCCAGAGTGCTGCCGCAGGGTCTGTGGATGGACAGTAGACCAAAGACAAGGTGTCTTCAGCTCTGTGTGTTTATGAAATCTCAAATGTGTCTATTTATAATATAAATATAATGAGTGAAGACATGTTCGCTTGAAAGTGCAAGGGCTTTTCTTAGTCTCTCCATCAAAGGCGAGTGAAGAAGTCGACAGAATAGAGTGTGGTTAAAGCAGCAGCCTTGATGTTTTTCCCCTGAGTCTGCTTTTGAGTCTCCTGACCTTTCCTTCTCTGCTTGTCAGTCAGGAAATACTTTCCATTGTAGCTAATCTAGTCTTAGTTCCATCTTTAAAGGTTGGACCCAATGCATGTTTCTACTCCCCAGTTGAGTCTCGAGGAGGCCTTCAACGTGATCAAGATGATGGCAAGAAGAAAATAAGCCTGTCCCCTCCATTGAGCTAGTGTTGGCTAAGTTTCACCCACAAGTGATGCAAGGAGGGTCCTGTCTCTTGGCACCTCAAATAATCCAGTAAATTTGTGCTAATTCTGCTAGGTAGAGGAGGAAAAGTTTCTCTACTTGCCTCTTCTTGGGCTGGTAATATGTTAAGTGGAATGGATACCTGTTCCTCCCACTGATGGTAAAGTCTCTTCATCCGGAGACCAAACCAGTCTGGTGTTCCGTAGGACTCCTTGGAGCTAGTTGGGCTGACATTTCTAGCTGTCAACATCTCCAATATTCATTTTTCTCTGTTCTTCCCTTGCATCACTGCTGGCCAACACTGCTTCCTCTGAGGGTTTGTCTAAGTGGTTGTGCTGGGAGATGGCAGCAGCTCTGAGCATCCCATGCATTAGGAAGGTTTGAAGGTGGTGTGCCCTGATGGTCGCAAGACTTCTTTCTCCTTGGTGCCTTGCCATGGAGTCTTGTGGTTTTCTGTACGGCTATTACTCCGCAGGAGTGGATACAGCCGTGCTGTACTTTCACCACCTCCGAACTTGCTTTGGCTCCAGTGTGCTTGTGAGCAGCTCAGTTGTGCTGGAACCAGTTGTCTGACCTCTGACTCCAAAGGGATTACCACAGGCCTGGGCTTCTGAGCACAAATTCTCCTGCTTGCCCGTGACGACAGCACGAGAGCAGGCTGCCTGCCTCTGCCCATTCCCTGCCTTGGGGTGAAGAGCTGTCTGCAGCACACCGCTTCCTCCCCATCCCCAGAGCTGGGATCTCCCCTGCTGCAGCGGGTTCAGCTCGCCCCGTGGAGGGCACAAGGCTCCATCCTATGGAAGGGAGAGTTGTAACGATGACATGGCTCTTGCTCCCTTTGGCAGGAAGGAACTGTACTTCAAAGAAGTGTGTGGAGGAATGAGCCATGCATCTTGTCCCTAGGATCTGCCTGGGAGGCAGCTGGTTGCAGGCAGGAGCTGGTGTGGCCTTGACACCCTCCTGCTCCTGGGTGTGCAGCTAGTGGGGAGCTGGGCGCCTGCCTAGTGCAGCATCCTATCCACCCTGGCTCTGAGCAGATGCTGTTTGTGGCAAGGAATTGCTGGGATTAGCTGGACTCCTGTTGGTTGGTAGCTGCTGTGCTTTGGTTGCACGTACTTCACGTCTCCTAGAGGATAAGACTCCCGTCAGCAGACCTCCCTCAGCTGGATACAGGAGAAAGGCTCTCCCAAGACACAGGGCACTTGGGTTTCTTTTCTCCTCTTCGTATCATGCTGGAGGGAAGGACATGACCCTCTGCCTGCAGCAAGGAGGTGACCACCATCTCAGGAGCCTTGCCCCCAGACACCCCAATAGATGAGTCCCCGTTGCAGCACAGTGAGATGGTGTACAGCCCTTGTTTAGCACAACCCCTCACAGCTACCGAGGGCCATGTTAGCGTAGATGCAGCTGCTGGGATGGTGTACACGTACTGCGGAGGTTTGTGTGTCTGGAGGTGAGTCTGCTCTGTGCTCTTGGTGAGCTCTGGGCAGTCTGAGTCTGCAATGACTCAAAAAAAACAGAGCTCTGGGTGGCTCTGCCAGGCGAGTGCTGGCAAACTTTGACGTGGTTATTGACCACAGTCACTGACCTTCCTGCCCTGGTGGGATGGTGAGCAGAAGAGGCTGCGTCCTTGCAGCCCAGCTCTGCCTGTGCAGAGCCCGGTCTTAGCTGGCCAAAACAACTTGGATAGTGGATATGTATGACTGATCTGTGATCCACGTTCCCTCTACCCTTACTCTGTGATGAGAGGTGGGAATTTCAGGGGGAAGGGGTCAGTGGGAATGGGATCACGTCTTCAACTTTAGTAGCAAAATCACTGGTGCTTGTCTGTCAAAGACCTGAGAATCCAGAATGCAGTTTGGGCAGCGCCTTGCAGCTGTAGGATGGTGCCTTGAACCCGGAGCGTGGACACCATCCTGGGGAGGGAGAGTCTCTTCCCCAGGGAGTTTCTGCAGTTCTCTAAGGGTTTGTAGGGTGAAGCTCTTCAAAGAGATCAGCTCGAGCAATGAGAGAGAGAGAGAGAGAGAAAGCTGCTGACATAAACATGCCTCTTCTGTTCATGCTCCAGTCCTGAATGTCTGTGAGCAAAAGGCTCCAGCTGAAGGGAAGGGGATGGGATTATGGAGTGTTACTGGGCTGAGGAGACTGATGGGGACGTGGAGGGAGACATGGGACTGATCCCTCTGCCTGCGGCTGAGCCGACTGGCCCCGAGCTCGCTGTCTCCTGACTCTGGAGACAGGATGTAGCTCTGGCTGCATGCGTAAGGTGGAAATGTCTCCTGAATTCACCCCTCTTTATCTCCCCTCTTGCAGTGCCTGGAGAAGTTTCCTGTAATCCAGCACTTTAAGTTCGGCAGCCTGCTCCCCATCCAGCCTGTGACGTCCTAAGGAGACCGCAGGAGGAGTCGAGGCAGCGGAGGCGTAGCGCAGCGCTCTTCCTCCTCCCCTCACCCCCTCCTCATCACCTTGCCCGTTACGCACAGCCCATTCATTCCTGCGCATCCTCTTTGGCAACCACAGATCCAAAGCACTCGCCAGCCTTGCACAGGAGACGAGACCTGGAGCGGCTCCTCCTGCACATCCCCAGCACGGGGATGTCTCTCCAGCGACCAAGCTGGGGCTGTGCTTCTCCAGAAGCTCTGCTGCATCCACGGGAAATGTGACTGCCGTGTACGGCTCTGGGCGTGTGAACGGGGTTTGAGCAGGGGCTACCTTGCAGCAAAGGCCCTCTGCTTCCCTTCCCGGGAGGAAGGGGGTGTGGAGGGGAGGAAGGCACGTGTGTATGTGTTGGGCAGTGGTAACTGCAATTTCCCTTTTGAATTTCATTCAAGTTTCCTGTTGCTGTTTGGTTTGGGAAACCACTACGAGGGGTGAGGTGTGAGCCTGCACGTGTCTGTAGGTAGCCACCTCCACTTGCACGGCGGGGTCTGAAATGGGTAAAGGAAGTTGTAGGGAAGGTCTGTGGGTTGCTGGAAGCCCAGGGTGCCATCTCTCCCTTATTCTGGGTACGGAAAGCCTCCTCCCTCCATCTCTTCTGCAAGGTTCCCTGGGTCTTCCTTTCCCACCACTGCCTTTTCTCTCGGGTGAAGCTGGGAACCTTCTGGGCTGTGGGGGTCTGAGCTGGCTCTGGAGCCGGAGATAAGGTCCCCGGAGGGACCCAGCTCTGTGGGAACAGCTATGCAAAGACACTGCTCGAGCGGTGCCTGCTCAGGCTCCCTCTTAACGGGCACAAAACCTCATATGTTCGCACACGTTCATCACTGGGTCCAACCCGCCCCCTGCGCTCCCGTTTCCTCCTCTGTGCTTCGCTGCCCTGGGGCCTCAGTGGCACAATGTGACCGTGGTTGCTACTGCTTGGTCATAAATTGTAGCGAAAGCCCTGTAGCAAAGGGATTTCCCCACGAAGCAGCACGTTCCCCAGCTCTTTTAGGCAGCCATCCCTGGAGCAAAGGCAGCATGGGGGGGCAAGCATGCAGCTTTACGTGCGTTTATATACTTGTGCTGGAAACAAAAAGCATAAATAGCCCAGGACAGCGGGTTATACCTGGAG